AGGACCCTGGGATCATGACCTGAGCCAAAGGCAGGCGCTTAACAACTGAGATACACAGGCGCCCCAGGAAAGGGCTTTAAAAGCTCCACACTTGCAGGGTGCTTTCTCCTTGAGGTGCAAAGCCCACGGGCCCCATTCCTTCCACTCAGCGGCAGGGGAAGGAGGTGACAGCGAAGGCTGAAAGGCCAAACTTGAAAAGGTGAAGGTTAGATTAATGAAACAGTTAAACCCACTTCTCTATTGGAGGCCTTCTCAGCACTGTCATTGTCAATCTCTAGGAAGGGCAATACAGGATACCAAGTGTCCCACAATTATTCGTCGACCAGGGAGCCCTTTTCTTTCCATTTGTGGATGACTAGGGCAAGCAGAGCTCTGCAGGGTGCTCTCTAGAGAGAAATAAGTCACAAATATAAACAGCATGAGATCCCTTCCTTTACAGAACAGGGCACACGAAACAAGGGAATCGCTCAGCAAATCTATTCCTTGGCAATGAAACTGCCAAGAAAAGCAAACCAGTGGCTGCACCTAACTTCAAAGCCAACAGCTGTTTTTGGAGAATGTTTGAATCAATTACTTTAGGTCAGGGGCCGACAAACTTCTGTAAAGGGCCACGGCCAACATTTTTGGCTTTGAGGGCAGACAGCCTCTGCTGCAACTACTCAATTCTGCCACTGCAGTGTGACAGCAGCCATAGATAATATTTAAACAACCGAGCGTGGCTATGTGCTAATAAAAACTTTATTTGTAGATACCGAGATTTGAATTTCATATAGTATCACATGTCCTGACATTTTATTCGGGCCACAAAATTTTCTTCTTGTAATTTCCTCCCCAATCATTTAAAAGCATAAAAAATCATGCAAATTCACAGGCCATGCAAAACCAGGTGGTAGCCATAGTTTGCTCACTTCTGGTTTGGATTCCAGATTCTCTAACCAAATGGTTTATGTCTTGGGAAGGCCCTCCTAAGAAAATGGAGAGAAAACTCCCTTTCCTCATCTGTAGAATGGCTTTGATAAGGAACTTGCTGGGAATAGGGAAAATTCATATAAGGATATGGGTTTCCTTCATCTTCTATATCCAGTTAGTTTTTAAGACTTCTCAATGATTCCTTCAAAATAGATCCTAAGGAGGTATTACACTTCTCTCCACCTTTATCAACACCCTTCTACTCTAAGATCTCTTCATCTCTTGCCTGGACCCCTGCAACACCCTCATTACTGGCTCCTAGCTCCACTCTTGCCTCGATAGTTCTTAAGATCCTTTGAGGGCGCCTAGGTGGCTCAGTCGGTTGAGCATCTGCTTTTGGTTCAGGTCATGAACCCAGGGTCCTGGGATCGAGCCCCATGCTGGGCTCCCTGCCTAGCAGGGAGTCTGCTTCTCCCTCTATCCCTCCCCCCCTGCTTGTGCTCCTGCTCTCTCTCTCTCAAATAAATAAATAAAATCTTAAAAAAAAAAAGTAAGATCCTTTGAAAGCACAAATCCTATCTTGTCACCCCTCTATTCAGAGGACTCCATGGCTCTTATCACAGAGACGAAATAAAATCCAGAGCCCTTCCCAAGCATTATGGGGACTTGAGGTCTTTCCTATCTCACTTTGAATGTTCTAGTCAAATTGGCTCTTGCTCCTAGAATGCTCCAGGCCTCCTCCTGCCTCAGGACCTTTGCACCAGACTCTTCCACCTGAATGACATGTTCTCCTCACCTCTAGCCCCATTCTCCACTGCTGGCTGCTTCTTATCATTCAGATCTCAGCTTATATGTCACCTTCTTGGGTCTCAAGTGTGCTCTCCTCCCCCAACCCCAAGCACTCTGAAGCACATACTCCTGTTTTGTTTTCTTCCCGGCCCTGTATTTCCTTGTCTGTTTATTTTCTTATTCATAGTTCCCTTTCCCACCATGACCAGAAATGTAAGCTCCCCAAGAGCAGAGACCTGGCCTGCCTTGCCCACCTCTGCATCTCCAGCTCTGAAAATGGGCACACAGTACGGCCTGCCTTGCCCACCACCTTACCTCCAGCTCCCTAGACAGGCACATAGTACGGGCTCAACTTTTACTGTCAAATACGTGTCCACACGCCAGGAGCACACTACTAGTGAGTGTCAAAGGCCAGTTTGAGTCTACCAATTGTGAACAAGTTCCTGCCTCCTGCCTCTGCCAGCAGCAGGCTTATGGCAGCAGGGGTGGGCGATGCCCCCTGGTCCAGAATGGGCTCCGCAGCCCAAGAAGAGTACTAGGCACTGTGCAGTTGCTATCTGTAGGCTTCGTCCCTGGGGGAGTCCGCCTGGCCCATCCCCGAGCTATTGAGATGTGTATGGGGAGGGAAAGGCAAGAACTTCAGCTCCAGAGACACCATTCCCACGACACCCACACCCCTGGCTCACCCAGCTGCCTCCTGGAAGCCTTGGGGCTGAGTCTGGGCCCAGGCCCAGGAGAATTTTTCTTTTTGGCTACTCTCCTAAAGCGGCAGAAAGGCTATTCAGGAGCAAGGGGAATGGCACTTTCTCACTAGAAACTGGAGTCCTGGTATCCAGCTTCCTGGGATCTCTGTCATCTCTGTCATCAGCCCACAGAGCCCAGCAAGTGAGTCAACCTTTAAAGCCACTAGGCTCTCGCCCAATTCAAAATGATAAAAATAAATGCAAGCGGTGTAATTCAGAGGGCTGAGCAGGAAGGGCCAATCATGAGAATAACAGTGGCAGCTAACAGAGTTTGAGCAATTACTAGGTATCTGATGCTCAACATGTATTCTTTTACAGGATCCATAACACAGCAATATGAGCTTAAAATTATTACCAATGATCACTGCCCCTAGCTTAAGGGAAACTGAGGTCCAGAGAAGTAAAGTAACACATCCACAAGCACACAGCTAGAAAACAGGTGATTGTTTCCAAAAGCAAACCAAACCCTCGTCAAAATAGCCCTCTGGGCTTGGGCCCTTCAAATATAAAAGTTATGGCGGGGGAGAGGCAGTTAACAAGACTAGATGATCAGTAACATCACCTTCTGCTCAAAGTTTGCCTTTCCAACAGGTGGTAATGACCATTCAGGCAGACTTGGTATTTCCACAGTTGTACTGAAAACTAATCTCCGCCCTCCCTAACTTTCAAAGGGGTCCTGCCACCTCTCAAAGAGGACCGGGTCTAGAAAAAGTCCCTGGAGAAGTGAGACCCACCCCCCCAACTTTATCTCAAATTCTTGAGAGAAAGCTTTAGGAGAGCCTGAAACAATCGTTCTTGAAGTTTATTGATTTTAAAAGAAAACGGTTGCAATTTGCACACCACCACTCTGCTCTGCTGATGCCAAGCTCCAAAGCAAGACAGAGAATAAACAAAGTGGACTTGGCCCAGCTGGCTGCTTGAAAAAAATAAATTCTTTCCCAAGTTGGCAGATCTTGTTGCCCCGCAAAGCAGACGCTCAGATTTTCCTGTAACAAACATGGAGCACTTCCCTTTCCTTCTGATCTTGATGGCCCGCTCCTGCCCATGTAGCTCTGGAGGCTGGTAACTCCTCAGTGACATGTGACCCAGTTGACACCAACTTGATTGACACAAAAACATGTCTCTGGCCAAGAGAAGCAGCTTAAGAAATCTAAGAAACTTCCTCGGGCGCCATTTGCTTCCCATTCCCAGAAAGGGAGACTGTGATGAGTAGAATGGTTAGAAATCATCCCAGCTTCAGAAACAAGTCCTCTGCCCAGGGACAACACCAGATCTAAGAGAGCAGCCCACAGAGAAGCAATCAAGTTTCTGTTCTGTCTCAGTCACCCGAGATCACTCCTCCCTGCCATGGGCTCTGATTTCTGCACACCAAATCCTCTCGGCTAAAGCCATATTCCTAGCCCACAGCTTCTCCATGAAACTTTGTCTTCCCTTGCCTTCTCTCAGAGAAAAGAAGGTAGATTTAGCAGCAAACAGCAGTGTTGAAATCAAGATTAGTTAACTGTTTTATCAAACCGCATTCAAAAACAGCACATGGGGTAGTTCAAAGATGAGCCCTAGAGAAAGCTCGAAGATGAGCCCTAGAGAAATTCCTGAAAGGAGTCAGGAGTCCCTGAAATGCAGAAAGGGAACGACAGCAGGGATTCTCCCCCACTTTACAGGATGGAAAACTGAGGCCTGATATGTGGCAGACAGTGTGTACTGGGAATGACTGGGAGCGGGGGCTTCGAAAGCGACGCAGCACAGGGGGCCTCCCATCCCTTTGGGATGCCGTAACGCCCAGGCGGCAGCTGCCCCACCCGGTTCCTCCCCGGCACCCCCCGCCGCCCGCCGGCCCCGCCCACACCTTAGGACCTGGCCCCGCCCACTCACCTCGGCCCCGCCTCGCCCCTCCCTCGCTCCTATTGGCCCAGCCTCCCCAGGCCCGCCTCTCCGTACCTCCCAACATATAAAAGCCCCCCGCCCCGTCCGGCCGACCTCCACTCGCCGCCGGCCCGCTAGCGCCCGCCCCTCGCGGGGGCTGGGCCCCGGACCCCAGGGGCGGGTGGTGTCGCCCCAGCCGGGCCCCGGCCCCCTCCCCCACGGCCCCGACAGTCGCCGCCGCCATTTTGACCGCCCGCCCCTTCCCCCCGGACTATGATTACAGCGACAGCCGCCGCCCCGGCCCCGCCGCCCTCCCTGGCCCGGCCCGCCACCCCGGGGCCGCCCCGGTTACCTCGGCTTCTTCCTACTTCTGTCCGCAGAAGGGCTTTCCAGAGGTCTCGGAGGCGACGTTGGGAGGGGGACGGAACGTGCCGGGGTCCCCGGGCCGGGCAGGGTGGGGGTGGGGGTGGGGGTCGGCCGGGCGGTTGTTGTTGTTGACTCGCGTTGCCGGGTTGCTTGGTCGCCACGACTACCGTGGCTATGGCGCCTCCGTTTCCCTCACCGGGGCAACTGTTGCTACCCACCCTACATACGTCACGAGTGGGGGCGGAGTCCTGGGTGATTGGCGGCGCCAAGAGAAGTGATTGGACGGCGGTAGGTCCTGCTCCTAAGCTATTGGCCCCAAGTCACGCTTTTCAACACCCTCTCGACTTCTCGGCGCTCTGATTCATCGGTGTGCATGTCCATCAAAGGAAACTGAACCCTCAAAGGCAGGAGAACCCGTCACTCCCGCAAGGAAGCGGTGGCCTAAGAATAAAGGGGTGGGGTCTGTGAGGTTGGGATTGGTTTGCGGCTGTAAAACCTGCCTTACGGTTCAGCTAAAGGGACGTCGATCTATTCCAAAGGTTTGCCGCGCTCTCTAGCTGGGAACCGTGCGCATGCGCGACACGCAAGGCCAACTGGGAATGGTAGTCCGCTCTGCGTACCTTAAACGCCTTACCAACTATAAAAGGCGAGATAGGGAAGCGCTCTTCCTTCAGACTTCTCCCTTCCCCGGTGGGTCAGTTCCTAGCTTCGCGCGCTTACGTCACGGGAGGAATGCGGTGACGTGCCCTGCTCTTCTGTGACGTCGGCGGCGGGCCTGGGTTAGAGGTTCGGTGACGTCACTGGGCGCTCTTCCCCTACCCTCGTTGCCCTCTGGTGGTGGGATGGCCGTGGGGAGCCAATGTGGGGTTAGATCCCAGGTCCCATCCCCCGAGCGCGCGGCCACCTCTGCCTAGACCGGGCCTCCGCGCCTGCTCCCGCCTCCCCGCCCTCTCGAGCCGGATAAGGTCACTGGGGCCGGGACAGCCGCGGCTATCTCGGCCCCGCAGGCGGTGCGGAGGGCTCTGGGAAAGGTCTCCCGCAGGCGGAGGATTTAATTAGAGGCTTCTACCGGCGGCGATAGGCAAAGGCCGGTACCCAGCCCTTCCCAGGGGAGCTCGGGCTGCCCTGCAGGGCCCCACACCGCCCCCCGCCCCGTTCCGCTCCCCAACACCGTCCTCCTCGCTTCAGTTTTCGCAGGGGAGAAGAGACAGAAGCGGGTTAAGATTAGGGTGAGCGCGCCTCAGGCGCAAAAACTCAATCATTAAGATAAATGACATTCTAATCCAGTATTTTTTTCCGATATTTTTTAAGTATCAAAATTAATGGGAAGAAAATCCGTGAAGAGCAAAATACCGAAATTTTAAATAAAGATAAGATCCGCCAAGGACTGGGATTAAGGTGAGGTGAGTCATGCAAGTGCAGGATCGGATCTTGTCTTTTACTTATTTAAAAACATATTTTAATCATTGAATTTTTTGCTTTAATTTTGATTTTTCAAAATATCTTGATAAGTGAGTTTTTGGCACCCCGTTCTTCAAATTTTGCGCCCTAGGCTCCACCAGGTCAGAGCCCATGGTTCTAAATTCCACTTCTGCTGTGTGACAATGAGACAGAGAGGCTCTATCTCTGAGCTTCTGTTTCCTGGTTCAACCAATTTCACACTTCTTGTGGGCAAGGCCCGGACTGTAAAAGTAAAGAAGCGGACACATCCTTAGACCTTGCATTCTACTAGGGGAGACACAATTATTAGTGAAATTAATACATGAGATAGGTTTATGAGGGCTGTAAGAGCAACATAAGAGGGTGCTGTCGCCTGTGTCCCCTGATCATGCAAACTGAGCCTGAGTGGTGGGTGAGGAAGAAGCAAGCCCCATAAAACCCAGGTGGTGGGAATTGCAGAGGCAAAGTCCAGGCGGGGAAGGAACAAACATCTGGCTGGGGCAGAATGAGCAAAGAGGAAAGTGTCAAGGAGGTGAGGTCAGAGAACTACAGGTAGCCAGTTGACTCCTCAGAAATCCTCCCAACAGGGGTGCCTGGGTGGCTCAGGGTCCTGGGATCGAGCCCCGCATCAGGCTCTGCTTCTCCCTCTCCCATTCCCCCTGCTTGTGTTCCCTCTCTCGCTGTTTCTGTCTGTCAAATAAATAAATAAAATCTTAAAAAAAAAAAAAAAAAAGGAAAGAAATCCTCCCAACAACTCAGCAAAGTGGAACATACCCCCCCACCCCACCACCACTAGCCAGGTGAGCAAACAGAATCTCAGAGGTGAAAGGTGCTTCCTCGGGATCACACAACTGGAGGAAACAGAGCCCAGACAACCTGTCTCCTTTTCTGGGACTTTCCAGTGTGCTTTCATGCCCCTGGATGTGACCCTCAATGGAAAAGGAGAAGCAGTAGCAGTCCCAATCTGCCTGGAACTGCCCGCTCCACCCCAGCCCTGACAAGTACCCCCAAGAATTCATGAGACTTCCAGGCATAAGGTGTCCAAAATAAATTGCAGCTGGCAGAGCAAAGTCACTCAGCCCTGCAGCTGCTGTGAAACAGGTGGAGGTCCCAGGGCCAGCCCTGTGGGGAGTTGGGACTAGAAGCCCTATTTCCACCTCCAACCCATTTCCCCACCTTCCTGACATCCCTAAGCCTTAAGATGGGCACAGCCAAGCCTGAAACCATTTCTTCAATCACAAATATTCATTATAAGCCTTTGTGGCAGGGAAGGCAGTGTGGGCTGGAAATGTTCTAAATTTTTTATCTGATAGTGCTTGCATGGGTATATAAAGATTTTTATTTATTTGACAGAGAGAGAGCAAGAAAGGGAACACAAGCAGGGGGAGTGGGAGAGGGTGAAGCAGGCTTCCTGCCCAGCAGAGAGCTTGATGCGGGGCTCAATCCCAGGACCCAGAATCATGACCTGAGCCGAAGTCAGCAGCTTAACGACTGAGCCACCCAAGCGCCACATTGCATGGGTATATAGATATAAAGACTCCTTGAGCTCTCCATTCAAAATCTGTGCACTTGGGGCGCCTGGGTGGCTCAGTGGATTAAGCCTCCGACTCTAGATTTCAGCTCAGGTCATGATCTCAGGGTCATAAGATCAGGCTCTTCGTAGGACTCTGCACTCAGTGTGGAGTCTGCCTGTCCCTCTCTTTTTTTTTTTAAGATTTTATTTATTTATTTGAGGGTGAGAGAATGAGAAATAGAGAGCATGAGAGAGAAGAGGGTCAGAGGGAGAAGCAGACTCCCCGCTGAGCAGGGAGCCCGACGCGGGACTCGATCCCGGGGCTCTAGGATCATGACCTGAGCCGAAGGCAGTCGCTTAACCAACTGAGCCACCCAGGCGCCCTGTCCCTCTCCTTCTGCTCACTCTCTCTCTCTCTCAAGTAAATAGAAATAAAATCTAAAAAAAAAAAAAAATCTGTGCACTTTATGTATATTATGCTCCAATTTGAAAGTTTAAAACACATGCACACGTTATACCATTGGAAGCAGCTCTTGACCAACTCCTTTCTGAAACATTGGTAATTAAAAGTAAGGAATTAAGGATGGTCTTGCCTCCCCAGTATTAGCTTAAAAATTTAGAAGGAAAGGGGGGTGCCTGGGTGGCTCAGTTGGCTAAGCAACTGCCTTCGGTTCGGTCATGATCCTGGAGCCCCGGGATCGAGTCCCGCGTCGGGCTCCCTGCTCAGCGGGGAGTCTGCTTCTCCCTCTGACCCTCCCCCCTCTCGTGCTCTCTCTCTCTCTCTCTCTCAAATAAATTAAATATTTTAAAAAACTTTAGAAGGAAAGGGAGAATTTTAAAAATCACCATTTTGCAAAAGCCGAGGAAACAATTGATTTGGACAGTGATCATCAATAGGCATTATAAAGCCTATTGGGTGTTACAGGTGAAAGGATGATGGGGAACAATATATGCACAAGGTGCTGGACAGCTCGCTGGCTGTAGGGGAGTGTGGACTTCGTCACGGGAGCCAGATTGTCACCGGTGTTAGCTGCAGTGAAGCTCAACATCACAGTGAAGGGACCTGCAGCCTCAAAAGTAAGTTCACAGTTTCTCCTATGACACATCTTGCCAAAATGTTAAACCTGACTCTGATTAAGTCTCTCAGCCTAACATCCAGTTTGCAGAAAATGGAAAGGGTCGAGAGACAAGTTAAACAGCAGTATCGGGGGCGCCTGGGTGGCACAGTCTGTTGGGTGTCTGACTCTTGGTTTCAGCTCAGGTCGTGATCTCAGGGTCATGGGATCGAGCCCCGTGTCCAGCTCTGAGCTCAGCAGGGAGTCTGCTTGAGATTCTTCCTCCCCCTCCCTCTGCCCCTCCCTGCCCCCTAAAATAAATAAAATCTAAAAAAAAAAAAAAAAAAAAACAACATTTGGAAGCAACAGACAAATCCAGAAGCTGGGGTGTCTCTTCAACAAGTCAGTCCTGGAAAAAAGGAGTGGGGACTTTTCTAGGGCCAAATTGTTCTTTGTGGTAGGGGACTGTCCTTGCATCATAGGATATTGTGCATCATAGGGTATTGAGCAGCGTCCTGGCCACCACTAGACGCCAGTAGCACCCTCCCTTCCCAAGTATGACAGCCAAAGAGGTCTCTAGACTGAGCCAAATGTCCTCGGAGATATTACCCTAGAGATCACGCAGCAACTGACAGAAGGACTTGGGGTTCCCAACTGTCGGGACATTCTCTCTTATTTAAGCCAGTTATGGGGTCTCTGTTAAACTGAGAGAGCTGTGACTTGGTAATTCTGTTCCGCATTTTTATATTCATTGAAGGTTTTGCACGAGGTAAGGATACTCATTGAAGTGGGAAGCCATGTAGGTGTCCATATTTCTAGAAAGATGAAATCAGAAGGCTGCATGATATAGAATACTAAGCCAATGGTGAAAGCCAAGTAGCTCTTAAGAAATGTAATGCTAGGGGTGCCTGGGTGGCTCAGTCGTTAAGCGTCTGCCTTTGGCTCCGGTCATGATCCCAGGGTCCTGGGATTGAGCCCCGCATCGGGCTCCCTGCTCCGCGGGAAGCCTGCTTCTCCCTCTCCTGCTCCCCCTGCTTGTGTTCCCTCTCTCGCTGTGTCTCTCTCTGTCAAATAAATAAAATCTTAAAAAAAAAAAAGAAATGTAATGCTAGTGGGGTGAAAATCTGCACACTGTAGCATTTTAAAATACGGCAACCTTGCTCCCGACCTAAGTGGCAAGAGGAAGAGATCTCCACGGAGTTTTGCTAAAAGGGAGAAAAAAAGAAGTTTAAAACTATCTACTGGGGCGCCTGGGTGGCTCAGTCAGTTGGGCGTCTGCCTTCGGCTAAGGTCATGATCCCAGGGTCCTGAGATCGAGCCCCACATCGGGCTCCCTGCTCGGCTGGAAGCCTGCTTCTCCCTCTCCCACTCCCCCTGCTTGTCTTCCTGCTCTTGCTGTGTCTCTCTCTGTCAAATAAATAAATAAAATCTTAAAAAAAAAAAAAAAAACTACTAATGTGCCAGCTAGTAACGAGAGTCTGACACTGGGTGCGTTGAAATGCAAACAAGATATCCTCCTGTTATACTGGCAAATCATCATAAAAGCTGGTGCATTTCTGCTTATTATACACGAAGTGTTAGGAATGATTAGCTGGCTAGTTCTAACAAACTTTTCAAACTACACGAATGGGTAAAAAAATAAATAAATTTTTAATATATGAATACTGTGCAGATATATCCATGGATAAAATGGGATTGGTGTCAGGGGACACCCAGTCAGTTTGGGAAATAAGTTGCAAGCAAGGTTTTGATGAGTTAAGATGATCTTGGGAAGGGGCGCCTGGGTGGCTCAGTCGGTTGGGTGTTTGCCTTCAGCTCAGTTCATGATCCTGGGGTCCTGGGATCAAGTCCAGCCTCAGGCTCCCTGCTCAGTGGGGAGCCTGCTTCTCCCTCTGCCTGCTGCTCCCCCTGCTTGTGCTCCCTCTTTCTCTGACAAATAAAATCTTTAAGAAAAAAAGAAAAAAGATGATCTAGGGAAAACACTGCTGGAAGTATTGCATCATCAGAGCCAAAAGAAAGGTTGGGAAAAAAAGGAATGAACTGAGATTTAAAAATAAAAACAACAAAAGTCTGAGAGGTGATCCCCTAAATACTTGGGCTTTGAGAGAAAATGCTTGGGGCACATGCATATTTACATGAACTTATGTCCACCTAAGCAGGACTCCCTGCTTTTTATTTATTTGAGAGAGAGCAAGAGGGAGAGGGAGAGGGAGCATGAGCAGGGGGGAGGGGTAGAGGGAGAGGGAGAAGCAGACTCCCCTCTGAGCAGGGAATCCAACATGGGGCTTGAACCCAGGACATGACTTGAGCCAAAGGCAGATGCTTAACTGAATGAGCCACCCAGGTGCCCTGAATAAAATCTTAAAAAAAAAACAAAAAACAAGCATACAAGATAAACATTAAATACAAAACGCTACCTCCTGTTGTTCAAGAATATATACCTTTTCAGGAACACATGGCAAATGCCTTAGAGATTCTGGCAATGGTTTGGGAAGAGCAAGGAACTGGAGATCTGAGATGAAATTAGACCAGTGAGGGCTTTGCATGGATCAGTGAAGGTGGGATCGTGTTTGGGGAGAGACTTGGCTGGGTGAGACGTAGGCTCACTGGCATTTGGGGAGCATAAAACCGATTGCAAACGGCTGAGGGCCAATTGGGAGGTGAGGGATGGGGACGATGAATATGGGTTAGATGTATTTGGGTCAGGAAAACAGATTCTAAATCTGTACTGTCTAATATGGTAGCCACTAGTCTAGTGAAGCTACTTTTATGGGGAAGGGATACCATTTATTTCTTTTTCTTGCCAAATTGCTCTGGCTAAGATTTCTAGTACTGTGTTGAATAAAAGTAGTGACAACATGTACCCTTGTCTCATTCCTATGTTAGAGGAAAAGCTTCCAGTGTTTCACCAGTGAGTAAGATGTCTGCTGTGGGCTTGTCATAGATGGCCTTTATCATGCTGAGCTATGTTTTCTCTATGCCCAGTTTGTTGAGAGTTTTCATCATGAAAGTATATTGAATTTTGTCAAATACGTTTCTGCATCTATTGAGATGATCATATGACTTTTGTCCTTCATTTTGTTAATGCGGTGTATCACACTGATTTGCAGACATTGAGCCATCCTTGCATCCCTGGAATAAATCCCACTTAATCATGGTGTGTGATCCTTTAAATGTATTGTTGAGGGCGCCTGGGTGGCTCAGTTGGTTAAGCGACTGCCTTCGGCTCAGGTCATGATCCTGGAGTCCCGGGATCGAGTCCCACATCGGGCTCCCTGCTCAGCAGGGAGTCTGCTTCTCCCTCTGACCCTCTTCCCTCTTGTGCTCTCTATCTCTCATTCTCTCTCTCTCTCAAATAAATAAATAAAATCTTAAAAAAAAATAAATGTATTGTTGAATTCAGTTCACTAATATTTTGCTGAGGATTTTTGCACCTACATTCTTTTTTTTTTTTTTAGATTTTATTTATTTATTTGAGAGAGAGAATGAGAGATAGAGAGCACGAGAGGGAAGAGGGTCAGAGGGAGAAGCAGACTCCCTGCTGAGCAGGGAGCCCGATGTAGGACTCGATCCCGGGACTCCAGGATCATGACCTGAGCCGAAGGCAGTCGCTTAACCAACTGAGCCACCCAGGCGCCCCAGCACCTACATGCTTGAGGGATGTTGACCTGTAATTCTCCATGTAGCTATTAAAACTAAAAGTAACTAAAATACAATGAACAATTTAGTTCCTCATTCCTCCTGAACACATTTCAAGCACTCAATAGCCACATGTAGCCGGTGGCTACTATGTTGGAAAGCACAGATGGAGAACACTCCCACCATTGTAGAAAGTTCTGTTGGCCTGGGCTGCTCTAAATCAACTCTGAGAAAACATTTCAGAGACTCAGGAAAATTTGAATACGTGTGTGGTATAAGATGATACTGAAGAATGATTGTATATTTGTCTTTGTGTAAATGTCCTTATTTTTTAGAAAGGCATGCTATAGTATTTGGAGATGAAAAATGATGTCAATAAGGTTGAAATGAGATAGTGTGTTTAAAGCACCTAGCACAAAACCAGGCACTCATCAAATCCTTAAAAAATGTTAGTGTTGGGGCGCCTGGGTGGCTCAGTCATTAGGCGACTGCCTTCAGCTCAGGTCATGATCCCAGGGTCCTGGGATCGAGCCCTGCATCGGGGGCATTGGGCTCCCCGCTCGGCGGGAAGCCTGCTTCTCCCTCTCCCACTTGCCCTGCTTGTGTTCCCTCTCTCGCTGTGTCTCTCTCTGTCAAATAAATAAAATCTTTAAAAACAATGTTAGTGTTAATTAATTTAAAAGTTTGGAGAAATGGCAAATTGGGAAAAAATATTTACAACTCATTTTACAACCAGATAGTGTATCTCCTTCATATATAAAGAACTCTAGAAATCAAAAAGAAAAAGATCAACAACCCAAAAAATAATGGACAAAGGTAGCCAGAGAGGAAAGAATAAACTAGAATAGCTCTGGAACGCACGGAATATGTTCTACCGCACTTATGGAAGGGAAATGCAAATTTTCTCTGACATAACAATTTTTCACCCATTATATTGGCAAAAATCCAAAGGTTGATACACTCTGTTGGTGAGGCTATAGAGAAACAGAACCCTCACTAGTTGCTGGAGGGAGTGTGAATTAATCTGTCCCCCAAAAGGAACATTTGGAAATATCTATTAAAAGCACAAACGCACAGAAGCGCCTGGGTGGCTCAGTCGGTTAAGCATTGGACACTTGATTTTGGCTCAGGTCATGATCTCAGGGTTGTGACCTTGGGCTCCATGCTCACCAGGGAGTCGGCTTGAGATTCTCTCCCTTTCCCTCTACCCATCCCCCTGCTCGCTCTCTCTCAAATAAATAAATAAATCTTAAAAAAAAAAAAAAAAAAAAAAGCACGGGGCACCTAGGTGGCTCAGTTGGTTAAGCGTCTGCCTTCAGGTCAGGTCGTGGTCCTGGGATCCTGGGATCAAGTCCCTCATTTGGCTCCCGGCTCAGCGGGAGT